TCTTCCTTTCTCTTCTTCTTTTACTTCCCCTTTCCCTTTTTAAACTTTTCCCCCCCCCTTTCCTTTTTCCATTTTCCTATTTCTTCTCTTTTTCCCTTTCCCCCTTCCTCCCCCCTCCCTCCTTTTTTTTCCCCATTTCTTCCCCTCCTTTCCTCCCCTCCCCCCACCCAATATCAAACATATCAAACCTTCCTCCCCCTCCTCCCCCCTTCCCCTCCCTCCCCCCCACCCAATATCAAACCTTTCAAAATTCAAAGGAAACCCCCAACCCCCAACCCTCTCACAACAACCCAACCACCACAATATATATATATATAGTTATACTACGATTCAACATCGCACGCGGCTCGACGATCGAGAGTAGCAGCATTCAAATGGCTCCCTCCTTAAGGAGCAAAGCTGCGACGTCAAGTCCTGCTTGCTAGGAAGAAGAAAATCCAGGTTTCAAGCTGCCGCGGGTTTTATTTTTGTATCGTCGTCGTTACAGAAGAAGAAGAAAAGAAGAAACAGTAGGGAGAGAGGGAAAAGTTCAATGTTAGCTGGCTTGCGTTGGTATCTGTTATTTTTTTTATCCCATGCCCCGTTCCTATTCCCATCCCATCCATCCCATCCCATCCATCCCATCCCATCCATCCCATCCCAGTCGCGAACTAACGTACACCACCTCCGAGCAGAGAAAACTCCATCCAGATTCAAACCCGTGTCGGAATCCATCGTCCAACCAGCTAGTAGTTACCCGTGGCGCTGTTGTTACTGTAAGGCACGTACCCATCGCCCGCTGCAACGCCCGTCTGCTGCGGTCCCCCCATCGTCGTAGTGCCGGTGGGCGGCTGGTAGCCATTCGTCGTCTGGCTGCCGTACACCTGCGGCTGCTGCTTCTGGTGTCCGACGCCGCTGTACGTCTCGGGGCCGTACTTGCTAAGCAAAGCCGGCTCGCCGATGGCCGTGGCATCCGTGGCGTAGGAGGTGCGCATGTCGGCGGGCGTGGCGTGGGTGGGTAGGCCGTCGGGATGGTGCTTGTCGGTGGTGGTCTTGGGCGCGCGCTGCCAGAATTTGCGCTTGGGCGAGCCGGCTGTGTAGCCGTTGTGCGGGGAGGGGCCGAAGGCCTTTTCGCGCTTGTGGTGGCGGATGAGGCCGTACTCGACGAACATGGAGAGGAAGAAGAAGACGCTGTGGGGGAGGGGTTAGTTAGGGCGGACGGATGGACGGTTTCTATGGTAGGGGTCGGGTGTGGGATGAGATGGGATGGAATAGGATGGATGGGATGGGATGGGTGGGATGGGATGAGATAGAATGGGATGAGATGGAACGCGATCAGATGAAATGAAATGAGATGAGTTAAACACGATGAGAGAGGACGACGTACAGCCCGATGATAGCGACAGCAAACGCGGCCTTCTGCAGACGGCACGCCGTCTTGAAGCTGGGCAGCTCCGTGAACCCGTCCGAGTTGCCCGTCACCTCGCCGCCGATGAGGCCCTGGCCGTACGGGGTGGTCACGACGCCGGAGCAGCTGTCCGTCGCGTGGCGGTTCACGTAGGCGACGTAGATGAAGGCGCCGCAGAAGGCCAGGTCGAGGAGCACGGCGATGAAGCCGAAGATGGCGATGCCGCCGAGGCAGCAGACGAAGAGGACGGCGAGGATGGTGTACAGGACGGCGGCGCCCGAGATGCCCTCCACGGCGCGGACATTGGTCGGGATGCGGATGCTTTGGTTGTGGAGGGTGACGAGGTAGTCTGGGGGGGGAGGGTTAGCGATTGTATAGTTTTCGAAAGGGGGAGGGGAGAGCACAGAGTACAGGTAGATGGAGATGTCGTATTTACTTACAGGTAAAGATGCCGAGGACGACGGCAGCGCAGGCGAACTCGACAAAGCGCAGGAACATGGACGTGCTCTTGAGCGCGAGACCGCCGAATTTAGCCATCTCGGGTGTCTTTTAGTGATGAGTCTCGTAGGCCGAGAAAGGTTGTTGACAATCGAGGGACGGGGACGAGCGACGAGGTGCGAGAGACGAGAGACGCGGTGCCAGAGGTGAGATGGACTCGGCACGAGAAAGGGAAGAAAGGGAGAGCAAGGAAGGGCAAAACGGGTGACACGACGGCGGGCGGCCAGTCAGACACCCAACAATATATACAATCCACATCAACAAAGCCAGCGAGCGGCCTGGGCATTTCCCATCTTTCCCTGGCAGAGGTAGGTAGGTACGGCCTCTCTACTGTATTCTCCATTCTCCATTCCACGCCACCGGCTCATCCACCACCTGACCTCACCTGACCTCACCTGACCTCACCTGACCTCACCTGACCTCATCTCAGCTCGCGTCCCAGCACCAGCCACCACGGCCACGCACGTAGGCAAGTCAGTCCCCATGTTGCAACCAGCACCAGCCCCGTTCCCGTACCTGCCGCCGCCAATGGATTGTATGGTTGTATCGTAGCTACCTAAGCAAGTCAACACCCCGCAAGTCTCATCCATCCAACCACAATAGCGGAAATTGAGATGTAGATCTTCGCTCCCCACTCTCCACCCTATTCACGCAAGCGGTGCAACTGCGACCACCTACTACCTACTACTACTACTGCTACTACCAACCAACTACCTAACTACGTACGTCCCACTCCCCGATCCCAGATCGACCACCGATCCACCAGACTGGTCCGTCGCACGGTCGATCTTGCCCGGACCGAACCTAGCTTAAGCGAGGCTCTGCCACCGACGTCATTCCATCCATCCATCCATCCATCCATCCATCCATCCATCCATCCATCTACCGTATCCATCCATTCCATCCATTCCATCCCATCCATCCCATTTCAACTTACATACACACACACATACGTAGTACCACACCCTCCCTCCCTTACACCCCCAAATTCAAACTCAATCCCTAACAAAAGAGAAAGGGGCAAGTCACGGGGAAAGCACGGCACGGCACGGCACGGCAGCGGGGGATATCGGCGGGCCTACAGACTCTGCTACAGACGCTGTACGGTATGCGGTATGGATAGGATAGCTTCTCTGGATTTTTTTCACTGTGAATCATGTGACTCCTCATGCCATGTCGACTCCATAAACTCCTCCCCTTCCATCATCCACCCTCCCCCCCCCACCCAATCACTTCTTCCCCGTCCCAAACGCCTGGTGGAAGCCCGTCAGCGTGACGCGGAACCGCACATCGTTCGTCTTGACCTTCTGCACCGCCGCCGCGCACCCCTGCTCCGAGATGTCAATCAGCTCCGTCATGGGCTTGATGTTCTTCTCGCTGGCCAGCTGCAGCATCTCCATGGCCTCCTGCTTGCTCCCCAGGTGCGAGCCGCCGATCGTGCTTCCGTTGCTGGTAAAGTCCTGCGCCATCATCTCCGGCAGCGGCTTGTCGGGCAGGCCGACGTTGTGGAAGCAGCCGTTGACCGATAGCGTCGACATGTAGTCCTTGAGCGCGAACTCGTTCGTCATGTCCGCCGCGTTGAGGATGAAGTCGAAGGTGAAGGCCAGCGGCTTGAACCAGTCCTTCGCCTGCGTCGACACGAAGTGGTGCGCCCCGAGCTGCTTGGCTTCGGGCTCCTTGGACGAGGTGTGGGACAGGGCCCAGACCTCAGCGCCCATGGCACGAGCCCTACACGTCGCCATCAACCTCGACTGCTCCTCCAGGGGAGCCAGGGGAGCCAGGGGAGAGGGACGGGCTTACCAGAGAATCCCAAAATGACCGAGGCCCCCGATGCCCAGAATCGCAACCTTCTTTCCCGGTCCGCACCCAGCTCGCTTCAGCGGCGAGTACACCGTCAGGCCGGCGCACATCATCGGTCCCGCATCCGTCGAGGCAATGTTGTCCGGGATCTTGAACACGAACTGCTCGTGCACCCTCGAGTGACTACTGTACCCGCCCTGCGCGAAGATCTGATTGCCGTCCTTGTCCTTCATGGGGCCACCGGCCTCCTTGCTCGGGTTCCCGCCGCCGACGTTATACGGCGCACCATACGTGTCGACCATCTGGGGGCAGTAGTTCTCGTTGTTGGACTTGCACTGCGCGCATTTCATGCACGACTGGACCTGCGCGCCCACGCCCACACGATCGCCGGCCTTGAACTCGGACACCTTGGAGCCGACGCGCAGCACTTTTCCAATCATCTCGTGCCCGACGCAGATGGGCAGGTTTGTTTCCCCCCAACCGCCGGTGATGGTGTGGACATCGGAGCCGCAGACGCCACTAGTAGTCTTGTTCAGCAAATATAGAAGAGATGGCGAGACGACGCGAATGGAAGAATACAAGGCAAGTAACCAACGTACCAGCACTCGTGCTCGATGTCTACATCATACTCTTCGAAGGTCTTGGGGGTGAACTGCGCGAGGTTAGCATCCACATTTGACGTCGGGTGGGTATCCCAATGAGAGAGAGAGCTAGCTACCTTCTCCTTGGTGAACTCGGTCCACTTCTTGTGGTCGCGGATCATGAAACCCTCGAACTGATCTGGAACTGCTGCCATTGTTGCTGCTGCTTCGTCGGTCTTGCGATTCTTTCCAACCAATTTAGGCCGGTGGGCTATTGTAAAGAATAGTTTCTGTCGCTTGGGTGGTGATTGGTATTCGGTGTTTCGTCAAATGAATCAGAAATGTCTCTGCGAAGGGGTGATGGGAAGAAGGGTTGGCAGTCTTGGCCGAACGACCTCTTTATTGTTTTGTACCTACGCGAGGACACGGGCCCCACTTTACATGATGATGATGGTGATGACGATGATGCTGGTGATGGTGATAGTGATCTTGATCTTGATCTTGGTAATCAGGAATTCATGACCTCACCGTCTATCCGTGATTTTGATTTGCCCAAACCAATCGCGCGATCGCAGATGGACTTCTCTGCCGGGGATGTGCGCACAGCAGAGCGCGATCTGAGGCTCTTGCTCCTTCCGGTTTTTCATTCTGGGGCAATGGTCTTTGGGTTGGGGATGACATCAAGGGGGGAGAGGTGGGATGGCGGGGTACGAGTGCGAGTGCGAATGCGGGTGCGGGTACGGGTGCGGGAGCGACGTAGGTGAGGTGACGTTTGGCATTTGGCGTTCGAGGGCTCCGTAGGGGGTTGAAAACTTGGATGGTGGATGGGCCGGTGTTCGTAACCAGATCCCGCCCAAGACCGGATAGGGCACGTGGGGCACGTGATCTAGCATATAGTAAGTGAGATCAGCTCGTCCACCTCACATGACTCAGTCCCCGAACCAAAGCCCGCGAGCGAGCGCATGGGTCCTTTCCGGCCAGCTTCGGGATCGATGGAAATAGTAGTAGGTATGTAGGTACCGGTAGTAGGTACAGTCATGTGTTAGGTGGTCGTACTAGGTAGTATATCAAGCCGAATAGAAGCGGAGATTTGTACGGACTGATCTTGGGACCAAGCACACGAGGTTGGGGGGGTGGGTAGATGGTCGCTTATATAATGGATGTGGGGTAAGGGGGGGTAAGGGGGGTACCGGTAGGTTAGGTACTACGTAGGTTGGCAAGTTGGCCAGGGGGGGTGATGTCGGCAACTCATCCTGACCTCCACGATGCTTCGGCGCAACGGATCAACAGATCAATCATACGGAGTACCGGTATGCGGAATATGTTGTAGTAAGTACCTACCTACCTTGGCCGGGCATCACATGGCTCTGCTTGCTGCCCTTTCCTGTCCTGTCCTGTCCTTTTCCTTCCCCTCTGTTTACTTTTCACATGCTTTTGCTCTCGTTCTAGCTCGAAGACTAGAACATGCGCCGACAGATACACCGCATGACATGACATGACTGACATATCGCCAGGGTGAACATGAACGCACATATGAACATGGGCTTAGTCGCGGAGATGGTCGGTCTGAATGCGACGGGCTACCTACGTACTATACCGGTACGGTCAGCTATCTGCATCTTCCAGCCTAAAATCCGAGTCGGATCCCACGTCGTCGAAGATGGGTAGATCTGCTTACGCCGTACCTACCATACCTACCTACTACCTACTACCTACTACTACCTACTTCCTCTACTGCTCAGGCCAGCCCATTCGCTCCTTCCCTCTCACATCTTCCACCCCACTTCCCCGCCCCACTCCCCTCCCCCCTCCCCACCCCAGATCCCTGCCTCACACCCACCTTCTGGGGCCAGGCGCGACCAGATGCGGTTTAGCTGCCCATAACCTGACCTGGGCCAAGCTCTCCCGCTCCACTCTCTGCTCTCTGCGCTCTCCACTAACGGAGCTTCTCCATCTCTGCATCTCTGCATCTCCCTTTCCTCTCTCCACATCCCAAATCAAAAGCAGCTGGCGTCAAATGCCCGAGCTCCTCGTCCGTCTCTTCTTTCCTCCGTACTTATACCCAGCTCCCTGCCCGTACGCGCATGCGAATCTCGATTCCCCCTTCCTCGCTCTCTCTTCCGCCTCGAGTCCCATGTTGAATTTGGCCCTCCCTTAGCCTCGTCCACTTCCCTCCCCCCTCCCCCCTCCCCACTACAGCTTTCGGGCCTATGAACCCCGGGGGCCTCTGTTGCCCCCCGCCGTCGCCGCCTAGATCATGGCCGGGACGACGACCCCGACCTCGTCGACGTCCCCAACGACGTCCCCGACGACGTCCCTGCGGCCCGCATCCGCATCCGCATCCGCATCCGCATCCAGACCAGATGCTGATAACAACGCCGACGCCGATGCCGACCCATCTCACCCGGCCCGGAACCACAGCCCTCACGATAACGACAACGACCACGCCAATGTCCCGGTCCCGCGGAGACCGGTCAAAAGACGGGCCGCAAAGGCCTGCACAGCTTGCAGAGTCCGGAAGGTCAGGTGCGATGTGATGCAGGCCTATCACGTGACCCCCGCCGGGACCGTCACGTGTAGCAACTGCCAGATGGACGGCGTCCCATGTGTGGTGGATGAGGGCAAGCGCCGGAGGTGAGTCGGACTCTCTTTCCGCCTTTCCTGTTTGCCCGACACGCGGCACATCACGCCAACGACAGGCGCCATGGACGCGCATCAGGCCAAACACCGTGGACGAGAAGATTGGGACTACAGCTAACCTACGACCCCAGAAAGCTCCTGAGAATAGACCCGGATGTGGAAATGCCCGCCCTAACAGCATCATCCGCCGCCGAGAAACATGCGCGACAGGTCTGGCCGGAGCCTGCTCCTGGCTCGGGTTCTGATTCGGGTGGTACGGGCACCAGCAGCAGTGTCAACCCCTCTGATATCCTGAATTCAATTCCGGAAGCCAGCCCGTGGACGCCCTCGAACGACCTGGACCGGCGACAGCCAGCTGCTTACGGCGGGATGGGCGGGCACCAACCACACATGATCTGTACGTTGAAAGGATTTGATCGCTATGTTCGGGGCTTTCCGTACCCTCACAGATCTCCTGTCTGACGAAAGTGTAGATCAGAACGCAGCCCACCTGTTCGAGCGCGAGCGCGTGCGGGATGTGCAAAGCCTCGGATTCCAGCCCGTGGACCACTTCGATCCGGCATATACCCTTCTGACGTCGGCCTCCATCGGCGGCGAACTCACCAAAACGCGACTGGCGACGCCCCCACGGATCGCCCCTCCGGTGCTGAAGCACCAGCTGCCTGGGTTCCTCAAACCGCTCCCTCCGCGCATGACGTCGGTAGATATCGATTACCTGTTTGCCAAGGGGGCGCTGTCCCTGCCGGATGCCCCGACGCGAAACGCGCTGTTGCGGGCCTACATCGAGTATGTGCATCCGTACATGCCGTTGGTGGAGCTGCATGAGGTGCTGCGCATCATCGAGGACGGGAGTGGCATGACGGGGAAGATGAGTCTGCTGCTCTTCCAGGCCATCATGTTTGCCGGCACGGCCTTCGTGGACATGCAATACCTGGAGCCGGCAGGGTTTACCAACCGCAAATCCGCCCGGAAGGCATATTTCCAAAGAGCGAGGGCATGTCTGCTTTCCCGGTATCCAGGATGATCGTTAACTGATGTGAAGGTTCTGTACGATTTCGACTACGAAGTCGACCGCGTGTCCCTCGTCCAGTCCATCCTCCTCATGACCTACTGGTACGAGACGCCCAACGACCAGAAGGATACGTGGCACTGGATGGGCGTGGCCATCTCGCTCGCGCACACCATCGGCATGCACCGCGACCCCAGCCACTCCGGCATGGAGCCGGCGAAGAAGAGGTTGTGGAAGCGGATCTGGTGGTCCTGCTTCATGCGCGACCGGCTCATCGCGTTGGGCATGCGCCGGCCGACGAGGATCAAGAATGAGGATTTCGACGTCCCGCCGCTGGAGGAGGCGGACTTCGAGATCGCGGCCCTGCCCGCCAGCGTGGAGATGATCGGGCCGGAGTGTGCGCTCATGCGGGACGTCCAGGCGCAGCGGGAGCTGGCTCAGATGTGCATTGCGAAATCGAAGCTCTGTGTGTGCATCTCCCAGGTGCTCACGGCCCAGTACTCGGTCCTGGTCAAGAACCAAGGCATGGGCAGCGGTCGGTCCAGCGTGATGCTCTTCCCGAAGAAGCTGGACCAGACGGACGAGGTGCAACACTGCGAGAAGGAGCTGCAGAGATGGGTCGACGAGCTCCCCGAATCGTGTCGATACGTCCCCCATCCCACGCCCGGGGGCTGCGGCAACCCGATCTTCGTGCACCGCACCCTGTTACACATGATCTACTACACGACCCTCTCGGCCCTCCACCGTCCCCAGGTCCTGCCCCCCGCTCACGCGACCCCCGACCCCTCCCGCGCCCGGCACGACTTCTCCCGCCTGCAAGTCCGCGAGGCCTCGCGCGAAATCACCCGCCTCAGTCAGAACCTGCTCCTCGTCTCGCTGGAACGATTCCTCCCCACCACCGGCGTCACGGTCCTGCTCCCGGCCATCATCATCCACCTGCTGGACATCAAGTCCTGCAACGATGAGCAGCGCAAGGCGGCCATGAATGGGTACTCGCAGTGTCTGACGGTGCTCGAACGACTGCGTGACAACTACGCCTCGGCAGATTTTGCGACGCAGTTCCTGCAAGCCGCGATCTGCAAAGCGGATCTCGCCAAGGACCTGGACGCGCACCAGGCAGAGGAGCGTGTGGCGCGGGAGAGGTACAGCCCGCCGATGAGTGGCCAAGACGCGTCTGCCGCGATGCAGCACAGCTTCGTCCCCGCGGAGCACGAGCGGGTGTTTGCTCCGAAGACGACGGCGCCGAGCCCGCCAGATTCGGAGGCACCGCTCCAGCCTGTGGAGAGCCAGCCACCGCGACCCCCGGCGGCCGGGTTGGTGATGGGGGAGGAGAGAGAGGGGGAGCTGAACATGTACGAGTTCCTGCGAGATGACGCTCCGTTTTGCGAGGAGCTGTGGACCATGCCGCTTCACGAGGGGGCGCATCGGGAGCCGGGCGGGTGCACGCAGGATATGCCGTGGGTGGATCAGGGGCCCGCGTGGAGTCAGGTGGGGAGCCCGCTGGGAGAGGAGTTGCTCATGGCTGAGGAGGAGGTGGAAATCTTGATGCGGCGGGAGTAGCGGGCTGCGAGATGTGAGGTATGCAGCGCTGGCAGGCTTCGACGACCGCATAGAAGGAAAGAGGGGGTCACGAATGTGCAATAAGGAGCAAGACGTGAGCATGACGGGTTGTAGATATGGACAGTGGCTACGCAAGCTAGACTGGGCGTCGTTCACGGCATACATCTGTACGAGGCGTTGATGGCCCCGGGGATGAGTTTTGGTGTACAAAATTGGATTCCGTCAGGTTGGGGGGTTTTTTTCCTCTTCTTTTCTCTCCTTTTCCCGTTCAGATTTCCATTGATTCGTCCATAGGATTTTAGGTGTATGTGTATGTGATGGCCTGGTAGTGAGGGAGGGGTTCAAGGTTCTCTGGCGGGGGAAGGGGGAGGGGGAGGTTTCCACTTTTCTTGTACACAATCAATAATTACTGTACTGCAGGAGAATGAATCATAGCCCGTGCGCCGACTTTTCAACCCGCGGGCTCTCGGCCACAGTTCAGTTCAAGTCAAGACAAGACAAGCAAGTTTCCTAGGTTAAGCCAAGGAATATATATATATATTTTTCAAGAAAAATAAATAAATGAATGGATAGATGGATGGATGGATGGATGGATGGATAGAGGGATAGATGGATGGATGAATGAATAGATGGGTGGATAGATAGATGGATAGATGGATAGATGGATGGATGGATAGATAGATGAATGAATGAATGGATAGATGGATGGGTAGATCTCTTCGACGCAAATAGGTATTTATATTACATTTATATTGAATTAATTTATATTACAATTATATTACAATTATATTACAATTATATTATATTACATATATACGTATATATACGTATATATATGTATGTATGTAGGTATGTATGTAATTTCATACTTACCAATCTCCCTACCTAGGTAATAAATCGCAGATCGTGACGCCGGTACGTGAATGCGGATATGTATATGTATATATATATATATATATATATATATATAATATAGAAAAGGAGGGGTTAGATGATGGATGGATGTATATATTTATTTATAATTTGTAGAGAGGG